CGATGGGAAATGACATTCTGTACAGTGGCCTTTATGGGTGTGGGAATTATACGTCTTACGATGGGACATGACATTCTCTACAGTGGCCTTTATGGGTGTGGGGGTTAATATGGTCTCACAGCAAGTACCTTTACTCCCTGGTACAGTTATGACGCCATCAGTGCGTTAACCATATTCAATCATAAATTCTAAAAGTAAAAAACACCTATAGGTATTATAATTTTGCGATTCTGAAGTATTCGCTGAATAATATTATTATTAGATTAAATTACATTTCACATACAACGGGTATCACGAAACTTTTAAAACTTCTCTCCTCAGTCAGAAGCGTTAAAGGTCCATTATACTAAATTAAAATAAATCTAAGCAATCCTTCTAAAATTAATGTCCCTCCGAAAGTTATCAAGCTGGGCAAACGCAATGGACTACTTTTAAGAACTCAAGAAAAAATGTATTTTCAGATGCAATGAACTACTTTTGAGAACTCAAGAATGATAGACATTTTTCAATGCACACCCACTAAATATTACAAATGCATATAGATCATGGGTTAAAGTAGGCCGCTGTTTAGACTTCACTTTTAACACGAAAAAGTTCATTCAAATGGCAGAAAAGTATCGAACTAATGAGGGGGAGAAGTATAGAAATTATTCAAGACGTCAGCATCTATAATCGCTCATATGTCTGGTTAATATAATGATATGCTGAAGTATTATGTTCAATAAAAGTATTGAAGGCGTTGGGCAATATTCTGCATACACGTCCTTTACACATAAACAGGGGGCCCTGAGTGGCCGAGTGGTCTAAAGCACTCTCCGTTACCGATAACTGCCATCTTATATCTGTCTGCGTAAATTAGAGTCTACGATTCGGCGAATTTGGGTATGTGAGAAAGCTTGCCAGTAGCTTCTCGTGGGTCGGTGGTTCTTTCCGCGAATTTCCCGGTTTCTTCCTCCACCATTAATACTAGCCGCCATGTATAACTTATCATGTGCTGAAAATGGTGTTAAGACCCACAACAACAACACATAATTCGAGAATCTGCATAATTTTTTTTATCACTATAAGTGTAGCATCAATAATAATAATAATAATAATAATAATAATAATAATAATAATAATAATAATAATAATAATAATAATAATAACTTAACAGTACCCTCACCACTACCATCCCACCACCACAGCGACAATTACAAATTTCATTTGATTTTGACATTATTATGCACAATGGCTAATAATTTGATTATGAAAATTGCCAGGCTAACATATATTTGAATAAAGATATTGCCAAGATAAAGGATATATGTTTGTGGATACTGCAATACTAAATGATATTTGATTGTGGATATTGCCAGTCTAAATGATACTTGATTGTGGATATTGCCAGTCTAAATGATACTTGATTGTGGATATTGCCAGTCTAAATGATATCTGATTGTGGATATTGCCAGTCTAAATGATACTTGATTGTGGATATTGCCAGTCTAAATGATACTTGATTGTGGATATTGCCAGTCTAAATGATACTTGATTGTGGATATTGCCATGCAAAATGATACTTGATGTGGATACTGCCAGTCTGACATTTGATTATGGTGTTACGTATGTGTAATTTTATTAGGTGTGTTAGTTTTAATTTTTTATTATTTCATTACATGTTAGTATAATAATTACTTTCTTCAATGGATTTGATATTTTTCCAAAAATTAAGTTCATTTCAACCTGATAAATACGCCGTTGGAAGAAACATTATTACACAGTGTTTTAGCTGACCTAGTTCCTGACCTTAATTCAGAATTGGTGAAGAGAGAGTGAAAATCATTGGTTGTAATCAAGGTCATACTTGGCTTGTGTGTCAGCGTACGTCTCAGATGGCCTATGATGTTATTGCTCCATTCGAATTAAGTGACAACGTGACCCCGTCGTGTGATCTTAAACTGTGTTTAAAACTAGCGTTTTATAGTGATTAAATTCGGTCGTAAATTAATACCTTCGGAGCTCATATGTATTTTTGTTGTGACCATAAGTTACATTTGTCAAGTTTTCGGAATCAAAAATTAATTTCTCTGGAAAACATATAAGTGCTCTTCTTCATCAAAATTCTTGGACAAAGATATTTATTGGAAATTATTCAGAATTATAAAGCCGGATTATTATTCTTGATTCATAAAATTTAACAAGGAACTGTTGACACAACAGCACAAAATAGGATATAGAAGACGTAATCGCCTTCCATCTCGGAACATGATCGGGATGCGAACTTTGATTCATTTAAAACTTTTTCTAGTGATATAATTTGTATTTTAACATTCTATGAATAATTTTTGGATTAGATTCAGAGACCGTAAGTAATTTTTCATATTTTTACCTTGTTTTCTAGGGAAATAAATTATTTTTGTTAAATTTTACCAAGCTTGTTTTCTTCACTCTTCTTTGTTAATTTGTACGAGCAGAGACACTTAATCCTAAATGACACTTGATTGTGTATATTAATATGTTAAATATTATTTGATTGTTGGTATTGCACGGTGAATGATGATTGTGGATATTGCATGGTGAATGATGATTGTGGATATTGCATGGTGAATGATGATTGCTAAATGATATTTGATTGTGGATATTGCTAGTCTAAATGATACTTTATTGTGGATACTGTCATGCTAAATGATGTTTGATTGTGCATATTGTCAGTCTAAATGATACTTGATTGTGATACTACCATGCTAATTGATATTTAGTTGTGGATTTAGACATAGTCTAAATGACACATGATTGGGGATACTATCAGTCTAAAAGATATTTGATTGTGGATATTGCCAGTCTAAAGGATACTTGATTGTGTATACTGACATGTTAAATGATATTTAACTGTGGATATTGCCAGTCTAAATGACATTTGATTGGGGATATTACCAGTCTAAATGATATATGATTGTATATTGCACGTCTAAATGACTCTTGACTCTGGATTCTGCCATGTTAATGATATTTGATTGTGGACATTGTCAGGCTGAAATATATCTAAGTGTGGATATTTCTAGGCTAAAGGATATATGTGAATATTGTCAGACCAAAGGATTGTGGATATTGCCAGTCTAAAGGATTTTTTATTGTGGATATTGCAAATCTCAATGACATTCGTGTAACAAGATTTGACCTAAATGGATGCTTGGATTAAATGACAACACAACACAATGTGATGAAAGATGGGATTTTATGAAATGAAATATTAAAATAAGTATATCCTCTCTAACACATACAGTGTAATTCTTTCACACTCCAAACACACGACACACTCGATTACTTAACACAAACATGCACAAATGTGAAAACAAAAATGTGATTTCATATATTCGAAAATGAAGGTAAGATTCACGGAATCTCGTGTAAGGAAAGAAAGATTCAAATAATCTCATGTAATGAAAGAAAAATTATAATAATCTCATTAAATGAAAGAAAGATTCACATGATCTCACGTAATGCAAGTAAGATTCAAATAATCTCATAAAATGAAAGAGAGATTCAAATAATATCATGTAATAAAGGTAACAAAACGGAAACTGTATTCCATTGAAATATCAATTGAAACAAATATAAATAATTAAATCAACATATATCAGTTATACCAAACAGATGACTCGTGATTCAGTCATTTGTACAATTCATAACCACGTATGACTCATAAATATTTGGGAAAAATCTTGCAAACGAAAGATTTTGACCTGGTTTATGTGTCCATTATTTCCCGGTTCCTTCCTCCACCATTAATACTGGCCGCCATGAATAGCAGATCGTGTGCTGAAAAATGGCGTTAAGCCTAACAACAACAATAACAACATCAACATTTTGGGTTTACACACCGCCCTATTTTAGTGTTCAAAATACTTTTCAGCCCTGACTGGTTTTTGAATGTTATTTAATATTAGTGATCCTTGCCAGGATTCAGTATTGTCCAAGGTGTGCTATATGTTTGTGCTATTTGTTTCGTATGTTATCTTATGTTTTGTAGGACTGGCTATATATAGATTAAATTCCTAATAGTTTAGTGATTCATATGGGACTCTGGAAATTCGGTTATATCTGTTACCAAACTTCCAGGTATGTATAACTTTTTATAGTTTAGTTTATGTAGAGCAGTAAGACTATAGAAAGAAAGGAAAGTTAGTACAGATAACATGTTGGGCATATATGTTTATAGTTATATTATTGGGTGTGTGAGTGTAGTATATGTTTCTAAGTTTCCTTGTATTTGTAATATTCTTGCTTGGCCTTACCTTTGGGGAGATCCGGTACGACCCGTACTACCGCACGTGAGTCTCGTAGCATAGATAACGTACCTTTATGTTCTCCTTATTCCTCAAGGCCGTATTTATGTCATTGCGTCTTTGTATTTGTATACGTTGTTTTGTTAAGGTGACGATCAATCACAAGGATCTAAAAGTAATTAAACTTATTGAATTAAATATATTCTCTTTTGACTTTCATTAGCGAATTGATACATGTTGTTGGTTCTATATAAATGCTCTTGTCGTTAATATTATTTGTATACAATAAATGATTTTTTTTTCTATTGTCCAATATTTGTTTATAATTTTGTTTTTTATTTCTTGTCTTTCTATCAGTTTTCCTGGGCATCTAAGTATTAAATATTCCTTTGAGTCGACCGCTACAGTGGCTCAGTGGTTAGAGCGTCCGCCTCGGATGCGAGAGGTAGTGGGTTCGATACCCGGTCGAGTCACACCAAAGGCTTATAAAAATGGTACTATTGCTTGCTTGATTCTCAGCATTAAGAGGGTAGTGTTTGGACTGGTTGTCCAGGTGTCAGGATAATGTGTTTGGGTGGGACATCATGCTACATGTCTTCAGCACTATGCCCCAGTGATAGACATCAATATAAACTGCCACACTGCAGACATCGCAGCGATATGACTGAAAAATTGTTAAAGCTACTTTAACAGCGAGGCAGCTGTTAGTACCATTTTTGTAAGTCTTTGGTA